GAGTCCCAGCTGATTGAGCCTTCACATACCGATCATACCAGCTTCTCCCTTGCTTATTGCACTACAATCACACTGAATTTCTTTTAGCTTCTCAAATGCACCAAGTATTTTCCTGTCACACGATTCTCACACATGCTCTTCTCTCTCTTTAGATTGTTCTTATTCACACACTTCGGCTGGCTAACACAGGTCTCAGTTTATGTCAGTTCTTCAGAGACACTTTCCCTCTGTTATGAATCTAAATTATGTCCTTCCTATTATGCTTTTTCATAGCATCTTGTCATTTTCCTTTGTCACATTTGTTTATTTACTTATTTATTTATTTGAGTGTATTGTCGGTTTCCGTAAAAGGACACCAAGTTCTGTGACAGCAGGAGACATACCCGGCATTTAGCATTATTTGGGTCATATAGGAAAGTATTTATTGGGTGAATGAATTCCCACTGCCACAAGTGTAGGTTTTAACTCTATCCAATAAGTTTATAAACGCTTTAAAAGCAGAGAATGTCTAATTAAAGTTTGACCTTCCACAGCCCAGTAGGCAGTGTCTTGGACACAGTGGTAAGCCTTCCATAAATATTTATTCAATGAATCGTGAACTACTAATCTAGATGCCACTTTCTTCTAATTCACATAGCATAATATTTCTAAAATATTGCCTCCATCATCTTAATCCCCTGGTAAAAAACCTATCCACCATTACCTATTTCATCAAATTTAGCTTTATTCACTCTCCTCACTATCAAGTTTATTTTATTTTAATTAATTAATTTCCAGAGAAGGAAGGATTTATTAATATTACTTGCAGCAAGTAAGGAGAACACTTGCTTTCCCAAAGCAGTGTCTCCAAGTATGTAGTATTTTATAATCCTCACAACACATTCAACACTTATTCACTCTCTCCAATAATTTCTAATTGTTTCATATGTATGAGTGCCTTCAATAAAAGGGTCTATGTCTTCTGTTTTCGCTGCCTTTTTTGTTGGGCACACAACAAAAGTGCTCAATGTCAAGGGAAGAAACCATCATTCAAAATGTGAAATAAAACGTTGACTTATTACTTTCTATGTGTAGAAAAGCACTATGCTTGTTTGACTGTCCCTCTGCTGATCTTATCTTGTTTTTGTGAAAGACAGAGTTCAGGGATTGGCTGACTTTCAAAGGTGAAAGTGGGTTGACGTCTGCTGTGGAAGCATGATTACTCTGCTGGAGAGACTGTTGACAATTGGCTGAATTTCAGAGATGTGCTCACTAGAGTAAAGCTGTTGCTGTTTTGGCTAACTTTAAAAAGTGGGAGGCTGTCCCTGACTGGCTGGTTTTTCAGAAGATTGTTCATAGGGTTGAGCAGCCATTTATCTATTAATTGAGTTTAGAATCACTTCTGCTCATTAGTTGTTACTGTGGCTACATAATAGGCTTTTCCTAAGAATATAGGACTTTCAATATTTCTTAAAGAAATATTTATTGATTGATTAATTTTTCAGATGTAAAAGAAGAGATTGAATGGTGGTTTACCTCCACTCTAATGTTTGACCATTCAGAGGGGAGTCATGTCATTCTTTTTCTACTCCCCAAGGTATTTGCTGTTTTCATTCTAACTAAGCAGGGATGATTGTGTTGAGTAGTCATATGTAGATTTGATACGAAGTGTCCTTTTTGGGCAACCAAATGATATTGATAGGGATAGGTTAGAAGTTTCTTTCAGCTTCACAACTCATGACTGATAATGTCCCGTAAAGTTTTAGGATTGTTGTCACATTTCGGAAAATTTCAAATAATTTTATTTGTATGACTTAATAGAGTTCAGGGCACATCAGTTTTCTTTAAACTGATGACATTCTAACCAGCTTGTTGTGGATAGCCTCACTAAATTCTGACAAAAAAGGACTTACTTTTATTGGCTAAGCATTGATAAGCACTAAATCTTTAATTTTAAAATGTATACATCCAATAATTGGAAGAATTTCTCACAGATTAGCTTTAGGCTCCCAAAGTTTCAACTTAGCTTCTCCACCACTATCCATATATATATATTTTTGTGTGTGGTACGTGGGCCTCTCACTGTTGTGGCCTCTCCCGTTGCGGAGCACAGGCTCCGGACGCGCAGGCTCACCGGTCATGGCTCACGGGCCCAGCTGCTCCGTGGCATGTGGGATCTTCCCGGACCGTGGCATGAACCCGTGTCCCTTGCATCCGCAGGCGGACTCTCAACCACTGCGCCACCAGGGAAGCCCTCTCCATATATTTTTGATGCTAGAACACAGGACACATTCAAATAGCTATATGGTGTCTGGCCCTGTACCTTTGTTTTACAGTGCTGGGTGGGTCAGTACAATGGGTGGTAGTACATTCTTAGATGCCACTCCTACACTGGGACAGCTGAAAATATCTTAACTATACCTAGGAATGACTGTGAATTACAAAAATATATCCCACTAAACTCAAGCCAAATGTATTCTAACTCAAGTTCCCTACAGTTAAATTATAAAAATGCCGTCTAGCCACTCCGACACCACTAGACAAGGGGAAGTGTGATGTAGGGAAAATCAGTGAGGAAAGAATTAGAAGTCTAAAGATTGCCATTAAAATTTTTACTTTCACAAATTTTACAAAAGCATATGAACGTGTGAGCGTATTGTTAGGGCCCCTTCCAGGGTCTTGGAAAGGGCTAGTGCAAATGAAGGCCCCTGAAAATGAAGCTTTCTTAGCTTCACAGTAAATCTGCCTCAAGGTCTGGAGCCATTTTGTTTACAGGGTAAAATGCAATTTTCAGAGTCTGCTCTATATAGGGCCAATGGATACGTTGATTATAGCTCCACTTGAGACCAAGATTTAAAGAAGAGATCTTTGCCTCTTTTGTGTCAAGGGCTCCCTGCTATTTGTTTAGACTAGTGGTTCTCAAACCCTTTGGTCTCATAACCATTTCACACTCCTAAAAAGCATTGAGGACTCCAAAAAGCTTTTACGTGGATAATACCTATCAAAATTTACTGTATTAGGAGTTAAAACAAACATGTAAAATATTTATTCATTTAAAAACAATAATAAATCTGTTACATGTTAAATAACATAGTTTTTAATGAAAAATAACTATTTTCCAGAGCAAAAATAATTTAGTGAGAAGAGTGACATTATTTTACATTTCTGCAAATCTCTTTAATATCTGGTCTAATAGAAGATTCTCATTCTTATGCGTGCAATATCTTTAGAGTGAAAAAGGCAAATAAATTTTTAGTATGAAATAATTTTGCCCTGTGAACCCCCTGACCACACTCTGAGAACTGCTGATTAGCGAGCGGTTCACTATATTTATCACTGTATTTAATTTCTGGTTGCCTACTCTTCCCCAAGTACCCTATGACTATTTCTGTATCTGTATAATCAACTCCACCTCCTAGATAAGAGGTAAATTTTAATTATTGCTGTGCTTTTTAGCATTCATGGAAAACTTTAGAAACAATTTTTTTCACACACACACACTGTATTTTATTTTTACAAGAGATAAATAAACTGACACCAAGCATTGTAAATGGATGACAACAACAAAAGCAACAATGATTGCAATTACCAAACACGAAACACACTCACACTATGTCATAATATTGACATTCAGTCCAGTAATCCTCCACTGTAACAGCTCCTTTACTTTGCAGTGAAAATTGATTTGTATATTTTTTGCCTCTGAGTCCTTGTGGGATTTTTTTTTTTATTATTCAAACAGAAAGTCACAAAAATTATAATCATCCTCATCAGTTCACTCAGTCCCATGTAATTAATTTTTTTTTATCTTGATCTTTTGTTAGCACTTTTATGAATTCATCAGTTTTCCGTTAGAGCTCTGAAAATGCTTATTCATTCAGTTCAGCAGTGCAGTCAGTTACCAGAAACCTGTACTTGTCAGAGTCTTTTCCATGAATTCCTTGAAGATGAAACGCTTTTATAGGAACATTTTTGCAAAAGCATCAGAGTACACCCAGAACTGTCTGTAAATGACAGAAGACTTAAAAATGACCACGGTTAAAGATTTGAGGAACGTTCATAATAATGCAATTGACAAGGAAATTTAGTTACTTCTGAGATATACATTTTAAAGTAATAACTAGAATTATGACTTATAACATTTTAATGACTAACAAGTCTTAGAGAAGTCTTTCTTCCCCTTCGCTGACAAGGGAAAAAATATCTCCTACATTGTCTGCTCCCTGATAGTAAGGCTTTCTTCTTTCAGGATTATAATGACTAAGGCAAATATTAGACTAAACACAACACTGGGTTCCTTATATGCTACAACACCATCTAATGCTTACCAAGCCCTTTCTGTGTGCTAGGCATGGGCTAAGCGCTTTACATACATTATCTCATTTAATTCTCACAACGATGAGGTAGGTACTGTGAGGTACCTACCGTCATTTTCATTTTGCAGATGAGGAAACTGACATACGGAGAGATTAATGCCCAAAGTTTTACGGGACTGAGCCGTAAATTGAACCCAGAAAATCTCTGGAGTGCGCAGTCTATTATCTACTGTTAAAATATAAAAATGGGCGATAGAGCGAGATTCACATAAAAAGAGTGTAGGTGAGAGAGGGAGGTAAAGCAAAAAGCCTCAGGGCCAAGACAGCTGAGATATCAATACAGGATGTAGTGTTATTTTCCACCCGATCCTTCTTTTCTGCTTTATTTCCTACGCTTCCATGTACCTCTTCTCAAATTTAAGCTATTTCCTTGCTGGTGGTTTCGTCGTTCAGGCCTGACTGGGGTTGATCCCGAAATTCAGGCGCTAAACAACCTGTTGAAAGAAGCGGGGCCAATCCGAGGTAACCACGGTGACGGTGGCTTGGCGAGAGCTCCGCGCAGGCGCGTTACATCCCAGGTACGACCGCCGGCCCCTCCTCTGGGCCTCAGACTCCACCAGCTGGTGGGGAGTCCTGGGCGTGGGGCGTGGGCCGCGGGTAGGGGCGGAGAGGGCCCGGGCTGGGCGCCTGCGCAGACGCCGGGACGCTGGTGTGATCGAGCTCACGTAGCGAGGGTTGCAGTCGCCTCCTCCTCAGCGCAGCCGTCGCAGCCTGGAGGTTATAAAAGGGCTAACTGGCTCCCTCTGCTGCCCAGTCGCGCCGCCAGCGGGCTGAGGGAAGGGATTAGGTAAACGGCTGAGCGCAGGCGACCGGGGACTGAAGAACGCGCAGCTCTTCCGTGCCACTTCCCAGGTGAGACGCTCCTCCGACCTTGGGTACTGAGGCTTAAATCCTTGGGCACCCGTGGCCCTTCTCGGATGGCTCTGGTGGTCTGGTCCCTGCCCCCTCTCGTGGTATGGCTCGGGGGCAGGGGGAGGCTCCCTCAGTTTACTACTGCTGGCTCAGTACCTTCTCCCCTGGAGACTCGGCCCCTCGCCCTGCGCCCCGCGTCTCCTGGGTGCCCCAGAGGCCCTTCTGCCCTCCTCCGTGCTCCTCTTCCCACCGCCTCCCAGGTTGGCGCCCCCGACTGTTGGGGCTGCGGCAGCATCAGTCTCCGCCCCGGGGACCAGCACTTTCTTGAATATTCCTTCCTGAGGAGGAATCACCCTGTTGAGTTTTCCGAGCTCCTCTCCTACCTGGTCCTGCCTAAAAAGCTGAGGAGTACGCGAGGGTTTTTGGCCTCCACAGCAGCAGATGGTTAGCGTGTGGCAATGGAGAGCGGTTTTTAAAGCTTATAGCTGACGGGGAAGCGCTTGGGCATTTTTATCCTGCCGAAGAGTCGTGGGGTCTGGGAAGAGGACCTACCCGCGGAAGTTCAGGCTTTACTCATCTGTTGCGCGCAGCGGTGCTGCCGGAGCAGCTGGAGGTAGCCCCGGGCGGCGAGTTTCGGGCGGCTGGGTTGAGGAAGTCGGCTGTCAGATCCTCCAGTCAACTGGGAAGCTAGTCTTCTTCCTTCCTTCTTCTGCCACATAAATTTTTTAAAGGCACATGAGCTTCTCCCCTCCCCCTCTCTTTCTCTCCGCCAAGTTTGCTGCTTTTAAAAGTCCACATCAGTAAATGGAATTCTTTGGCTGTGTGAGAACTTTGAGTTACGTGGATGGACCCCAGCTGTATGTTTTAAGGGGGAGGGTTCCATAAGTATGGGACCATTTCTCCTAAATAATCGATTGTATTAAATACAGTCAGTTTTTAGACACTAACAATTTAGGCGTTCCGGGTAGAGTGGTGAAGACTTGGAATTTTGCACTGTTTGCTTTAAGAAAGGGATGAAGAAGAAACTAGATCTCCTTTTAGGAATTGATCGAAAAGGCCAAAGCGGCTTGCCAATTTCGACTTAACTGTTTCTGGTTTCTCTGAGAGCTATGGACTTTCCCTTGGAATGCACTCTGAAGGGATGAAATAGCCACTACTGAGTGGGGGAAGGGAAAAGACGTGGCAGCAGTGTTCTTTCATCAACTTTTGCCTTTTTTTTTTTTTTAATAGGTTCGGGGAAGAAACGTATTTCCCTTTTTAGATTTAGATGTAGCTTATGAATGAGGCTAGTCTTTTCCTAAAATAATCTGATGAAATATTCAGTCCTCATAGCAGGAACACTGGAATTTAATTTATAAAACATTTAGAAGGGATTTTTCTGATCAAGTATCTATGGAAAAAATGGATACGTTAAGAGGAAATATTTAAGAAGCTGAAAGTGAACAACCGTGAATAAGGTTTTTTGCCTTGATTTAAAATTTAGACATTCAGCGATTTTTCTTTGACTTTTAGCCTGTGAATATGATTTCTAAATCTTAACGATGAACTTCAAATTTTATCTTTTCTTTCTGTGGGAAGCATAGGTTTCATCATTTACCTTTGAAAGTCATGTCAGTTTTGGTACATTATTCTTTAAGTCCTGCCAATATTTTAGACGGCCGATGGCAAATGACTCTTTTATTTTTTAATCTATTTTATTTTATTTATTTATTTCTGGCTGCCTTGGGTCTTCGTTGCTGTGCGCGGGCTTTTCTCTAGTTGCGGCGAGCGGGGGCTGCTCTTCGTTGCGGTGCGTGGGCTTCTCATTGCGGTGGCTTCTCTTGCTGTGGAGCACGGGCTCTAGGCGCGCAGGTTTCATTAGTTGTGGCTCACGGGCTTTGTTGCTCCGCGGCATGTGGGATCTTCCCAGACCAGGGCTCAAACCCGTTTCGCCTGCAGTGGTAGGCAGATTCTTAACCACTGCGCCACCAGGGAAGCCCACAAATAATTCTTATAGATTTAACATAGTTACTAGGAAAAGTTACTAGGAAAAGGACTACTCTGTGTCTTTAGGTGAATAATGCTTTGATATCTTAAAATGAGTTTTATTTTGAAGTACTGAAAATCAAGGATTTTGGTAAATGGATAATTTTATTGGCCATTTTGTATTTTGGTAACTAAAGTAGTAACAAAAAAAAGATGAAAAAAATGTGTACAACTTTAATTTATTGCAGAAAAATTTAGACAGTGTAAAAGAATATTGAAAAAAGAAAGCTTTGTATTACCAGGGTAGTCCACGTTGTTGCAGGGGAATCTTGGCTTTTTGGTAAGGAGATGTTAACCTTTCCTAATAGTGCAGAGTGGGTTGTATACTGACAAGCAGCATCTTTCATAGGGCAAATATGTTCAAGCTCCTGCTTTTATTCCAGGGATGCAGCCATAAAGCTTGTGAGCCTTCACTTCTGTGGAAGGAATGCCTTATTTTACTTAGCAGTTATTAACTGGGAGGGATGTAATTACATCCTTAGATTTGAAAAGTGTCCCTATGAGATACATAGTAGTAGTTCTCAACCTATTTTGAGGACATGAAATCCATTGAGAATCTGATAGAAGGTGTGGACCCTGGGTCTGAAAATGCAAGTATACACATCTGTGTGGAATTTTAATTACCATTTTTCAGATACTCTCTCCCTCCACAAGTGCATCTATAAACTGCAAAACCCTAACCCTACAAGAATCAAAAAGTAAAAGGTATGGAATAAGGACATCTAGGTATCTTGAGGCAGGGTTTCTTGAATATTTTTGAAAACTGAGCTGGGCTTGTAAGTCTGACTGGGCTTGACTATATAGATGACCTTAATAAACTTGCTAAAAGGGTTTTAACAAAAGTAAGCTGGTTGGAGAATTGTTGAATTGCTAAATTGCCTAGGCAATTGTACATCATACTGGCCTCACCCCAACCCCTTATATGTTGTAACATATCTTTGGCTGTACTCTGAAAGTGGAAAATACTTTAAGGTAAAGAAAAAGTAAATTGAACAGGCCCTTGGCATTACACTTTATTGCTCTTCTGACAGTGAGATCTTGAATCTTATAATTACATAATGGGGGTGTGTGTGTGTGTGTGTGTATAAAATGAATGTGTAAGAGACAAGCCAAATAAAGTGTGTATGTGTATTTGTGAAAGCTTCATTAGTTAAAGTTTCATTTGTGTTTCTACTCAGTGAGATTTATTTGTATAAATTAAAGGTATCCTCTCATTAATTTTCTTCTAGCCAAATATTGTGCCTCAATAAAAACTAATGACGCTCAAAGGACTTCATTAAGGTTACTCCAGCAGTTTTGAATTTGATATAATGAAAAACATTCCTTTTCCTGATGTTGCTTTGGATGATCTGTATGACTATTAGTATATTTGGTTGTGTATTGGCAAAAAATACAGTATAGAGATTCATGCTTCTTACATAGTTGTCATCAGTGAATGAGCACTATCTTGGACTTCTTCTGCTTCCTGCTTAGTGTTTTATATAAATATGTCCATGTTTTGGTTTACATATTTTTCACTTAAATAGTGATATAATATATCAAAGTAATATACTCAGCCTTTCTTGTTGGGCATTTGAGCTATTTCTTCATTATAAGTAGTGTGAAGAGAAGGCTGTAATTTAGTGCTTTATTTTATCTACCTGTTTAGCTACAGTAAACTTTAACCAGTTTTCTTTCTATCTGTACTTTTATTTTTTAGGAAAAGAAATAACATGACAATAAAATTCTTATATCAGTACTTTTTTCTTCCCACTAAGTGAATTTTCTAGGGGATTGGATTGGGCTCTGAGAAGGTTTTTTAATCAACCTGATAACAACTAAAGCACTTTACAATTTATAAAATGTTGTTTCATAATATTATATAATTTAATCTTTAAAATAATTCTGTGAGGTGGTTTTATATCATCCCCATTTTACAAATAAAGAAACGGGGATTCCAAGTCAAGTAATTTACCCAAGAATTAGTAGTCAAAATTAGTAGTCAACAGTGAACATTGAGATGAAGCATCAAATGGAAGAATCTTCTGTTATGTCTATAGCAGTGAAGAAATGGATTCTATAAGTGTGTTGTAAAAATTTTGGGAGAAGATGCTTTTGTAAAGTTTCTGGGGAGTAAGTAATAGAAATGGAAACTTGTAAAGTATTAATCACTAATTTTCAGATGTCTATTTTAAGCTATTTTCTGTTTTTCTGAATCTATATTTTTTAAGGTTTTTCACCTCAGTACCTCGCACTATTGCCCTTAAAATTTCTCAAGCTTTTCAACCATGAACTGTTTTCTGAAAAATTTTAAGAATTTCTGTTACAAAGGGAAATTTGTGTAAAAGTATGTTTAGTTTTAGAGAATGAGAGAAAAAGGTGTTTTCCTTGATTCAATATTGTGATCATTAAGTATTAGCATCTGTTACTATGTTCTGAACATTGTGCTGGAAGAATCATGATAACAACATGTTTGAATTAACATATAGAATAGAGGACGGCTACATAGATTTATATGCTTAATTGTTTTATTTGAGAGTGTTTAGTAAATATTGATTAACTGGTTTTAAGTAGGCTCAAGACTTCTCTTACACTCTAATCTTATATTAACTGGATTTTCAGGTCTGATTCTTTCAAACAATGATCAATAATAATTATTTTAGTGCTTCTTAAACCTAGTTGTTGAATTTAGGTCCTCAAAGCATTACTTGCTGTATACATATGGCCTTTGTTCTTGCCCTCTTGTTCCAACAACCTCCCCCCTTTTTTTAAACACAGACAAGATTTTATTCATATTCAAAAGTTGCTTGAAGACGTTCTCAAATTTGCATACTCTCAAATTTACCAGTCTTTAAACCTCAAAGGTATTTTGAGAATAGATCTCAATTTACTGTTTGAATAAAAAAATCTTAAATAATGATATTTGTGAACAGTAATCATAGCTATCAAGTGATAATGTTTTATAGGTAAATAAAGACACTAACACATGACATAAT